ACCAGTTGAGGGAGTCCAAGAAGGCCGCACATGCCATAGTGGAGCCCCATGAGTTAAAGGGTAAACATACCCCTTATGCTCAGAGGCAAAGACATTCTTAGCAGAAAAAGATGGGGCCCAAGCAATTGGTTGCAACCAAGAAGGCAACCGCATAATTAGTGGGTTAAGCCTATAGTGGTGTCCACCAATATTGGTTCGTGGGATACAATGGGCGACTTCCACGACAAGTGGAGTGGTACATAATATAAAGAGTACTACTATTCATCTATAAGGTTGGCACCATAACCTACCGTTGTACTAGAGGATGTGTTGAGGATAATTCCAGAAGCCTTAAAGGCAATAATTAAGGTGAACCAAACAACATTATGAATACATCTACCTCCTCTTGCATATGTAGTTGCAGAGTGGAAGGCCATCAGAACAATGGCCAAAAGGGTGCAGGAAACCTCTAAGAGGAGTATTGGGCCACCCACGAAGGAAGTAGGAATTTCGGTTCAGAGTGCTAGAGGTATACCACCCCATATGATATGGGAGTGGGTGGACAAAGTTCTCAAGAATCATGCGCAGGCCCTAGGCAAGTGCGGAATCCGTATGGCAGAGGTTTTCTAGCACAAGGCGCAAGGCCAAGGCCAACAAACCCTTTTGCGGGAAAGGGCCAAATGCAAAATCCATTTCAATAAGAAGGCTTGCAGCACCATTGTATCAAGCACTAGATGTGGAGCCTCAGTTTCAATAAGTTCAAATGACAACACAATATAAGCACCACCATTTCAACAAGCCCAAGAGCCACTTCTTTAGTGGCCTTGTTAGGGGCCCCAAACACCAGGTCCATATCTACAGGCTTAAGTGCCAATATAGCAACAACCTGCCCCACAATATCTTCCCCAACAAATGGAGGGAGTTAGTCAGCAATACCCTCCAAGGATGAGGAAGAGTTGCTGCTCAAAATGCCAACAAGGTAGGGGCCACCACCGCAGCTCATGTAGGCAACGTTAGGGCAACATGAGAAGCATGAGGAGGAGCTCTCAAATGCCTAGGTTGTCCAACCAATTGTGTTAGGCACCACCGCAGTTTAGTATATGACTGCTTAGGGACAACCACCCATGCCAAAGAGGTACAATCCCATGGAGCCGATGAATGAAACGTGTTACCGTATAACAGCCCAAGGCATATGTTTGGGGGTCGCTTAACCTTATCTGGGGTAGCCCTCAGGTGGGTACTTATGGAATAGGAAATCAAGAAGTCAAACCCCCTCAGTGGGACAAGAATAAACTATGCTAACCAAATGGTTGTAGGAAATGACTCTACTCTTTAGGTTTACACAAGCTCCTACATAGCAGTGGGGATGGATAGGAATGAACGCCTTAGGTGCCACCCCAAAACATAGTCTTTTGACTTGACTGAGTTATTTATGATGTTTCCTATTGAACGCAGATGTTTTATTTGATCCCAACTTCCAGTTGTCAAGGGAACAATTTAAATATGCTGTTAAGACCTTACACAATTATAGGTGCACTGATTTTTAAATCAGAAGTTAAACAATAGCTTTTACAAAGCCAAGGACTTCAGACCCATACGCCATAAAATACATGCAAGCTATGGAACAAATGCTCCTTAAATTAGAAAGAGGAATTAATGACTTTTCTAAGCTGCATTCATTATTTATAGGTCTAAGGCTAGCCACCAAAGAAAATATCTGCTACACAACAATGAGAAACAATGGGTTAAATATTCAGCTTTAAAAGCATACATGTTTAAAATGTGTTCTAAATACAACCAGAACTATAAGAATGTGGGTACAGGCCATGTACCACACAATCAGGGGGTAACCATAATAATCATGATGGTCAGTTTGGGGTGTAGAAAGATTATTCAAAAGCACCATCTACTTAAGACGAATCATAGGGGTGTTCTTATTTTGCCCTGTTAAGGTCAAAGAACTCAAGATTAAATCCATTGTAATGGACGATAGGGTATATGGCGGGGTTGCCCACAACGGAAAGATATTTAAGAGTCTAGTGCTTTTGTACCTCCATACAAAATTATTGACCCCATGGAGGGCAAGCTTATGAGCCGTCCTTTGTAGCTGCTAGATACAATTTCGGAGTTGTTGAAGAGGGGTAAACGCTGCTACCGATATTTCTAATCTTGGCTGGAAGGCCATACAACCACATGATCTGGCTCAGGAATGCTACCTAAGAAGAAGGTAATCAGGCAAAATGTGAAAATAAAACAGTCACTGCTAGCAAATTACGTGAAACTGCCTAGCTCTCTGTCAGTGAGAAGTATTTGCAATGTAGTGCAGAACTACAATGTAAATTTGCCTGATTCTTGTAAAACTACATGTGCAAACAACCGTAATGTTCAGCATCAATGTTGTCCCCAATGCCCTTGTGGCATTGTTGAGCCTGATGCCTATGCGGCTTTCCCGTCAACCCAACTTTGGGGGCAGTTACAACTGTTGCAATAAGTTGTTGCGGGAGTTGTACCTGTCCCCAAAGCTGGCTTGACCGGAAAGCCGCACAGGCATCAGACTCAAGAATGCCACAAGAGCATTAGGGACAACACCGATCGGATGTTGCTCCATGAATGTTTTGTACAAATCCAACAGCTGGTCCCTTAGGAGCTTACTATGGAGGGCTGTGTGCACCCTAAAGGGGAATATGGCTTGTGCAAGAAGTACTTTCTCTGTCTCAAATCAAATGAAGCAATTTGTAAAACGCAATCTACAACATGATTTACAGGTCAAAAGTCAAAAAGAATGTCAGATTCGAAAATATAAGGCTCCCAAACCCCTAGTGTGATCTTCTTTGCGACGAAAACTACTCGTTCAGTCCGTATTGCAAGTCTCCCAGATTTGGCGCCCACATGACACCAATCAACAATTTAGGTTTCGAGCCCCTGCCATCATTTCTATCTGCTTGGCGTTCTTGCTACCCTTGTGGAGGACTCCAAAGTCGTTGCCCCCTGCATGCTCAAACACGCTTGCTTGGATGCTAAACAAGGCACGCCAAACGCCCTCGAGCATGGTGGGATCGTAGGATTTGACAGGAACAATGACGGCGTCCACATTTACCATCAAGGTGCCTCCCTCTTTCAGCTCAACCGCCCACCATTGGAGGCCATCAAACAGCCCAAGATCCAAAATATTTAGATCTGGACTTTGCGGCAGCTGAATCTAAATCTTCATATGGTAGCCATCGTTCAAGCATTTCACTTGAAGCTCCTCTTGAACATGGCTTGCAACGTGGGGCTTTGCCCCTTTTATTTGAATAATGATGCTCATTTTGGTGCGGTAGTATGCTGCTCACATTGCCGGCAAAACCTTGGTTTTCGTCATAGCAAGGAGGCCTGCACCGTCCACATTCATGGGATCCACATCTTGCTTGCCACGTGCCTGGTTTTTCAACAATCTCTGGGCGCTCTTGGTGGTGGCAAAAGGACAGATGCCCACGAGGCAGATAAAACTTTGTGCCATCAGATCGCAGATGCGGACGGCCCACCGCAGCAAAGAGGTAATCTTGGGTATAAAACTTTTATTCTTAATTGCAAGAGCTCCTTGCTTCGCCTCATTCTGCAACAAACACACCAGCCTGCCATCAATTTGAACGTAAAACCACTTTTTGCTGATGTGCACCCAGTTCATGCATGAGTTCAAAAAAGCTCGGGCCCATCGGCTGGACTCGTTTGACAACAAACTGCAACTTCTGCAGCCAGGGATCAAGCTGGGCTTGATCCAAAGTGCACTCCTGGACACCTTATTTCGTCACAAAAAAGGTGAAGAGCTGACTTGTTAGAGGCCGCCAATTCGGAGACATGCCGAACAAATGTCCGTTGGAACTGTTGGATCTACTTGACAGCTTCGGCAAAATCTTCAGAGGGTTACCTCTTTCTGCCGCAGTGTCCTTTACGACTGCGGCTAAGATAGATGCCTCCTCCCTTGTCTGTTTATTCGCAGAGTGTCCAGGAAATGCGCCATATGGTGCTCCAACTCGTCCCAAATCCATCGCCCGCGTCACCGATCGATCCATAGGCTGCTCGATCCTGGCCAACCTACAACCTCAGGACTGCCGTTCCACTGCTGAGTCTGAGTAGCGTTGCCAGCTCTACATTTCTGGCACTGTGCAGGCCGCAGGAAGGCGCCCCACTCTGAGACCACATTTTTGGCGGGGACGGCGGCAGCGTGGGAAAAATCGAGTTTCTGGAAATAGGGCAGTGGTTCAAAGTACTGATATTTGGACAATACCTATCCGTCCTTCTCAATTATTTGGCAGCGTGTAGGAAAGTGAGTTTTGGTGCTCTAGTCAAAATTTCAGGCGAAACTGACGAGTGTTGATGGCATGGCCTCAAGCCAGGCATTTGTGCCTGTGCTGCCCATGGTCTGAAGACATCACGCTGCATCCCAGTATGGAAGTGCTTACACTGCAATTCATGCACAATGAGTGCGAGCAGGCGGGTATGTTTACCACACGCGAATACACTACTCCTTGGCCGATGCGCCAAAGGGACGCTGAAATAACACTGTGCCACACAGGCCGCACCCAAATGACCCGGTGCACTTTCGCTTTCACGTCACAATCTGGGGCCAGAACAGCAGCAAAGGCGACACAAGGATGTTAAAGTACACGTTCAAAATAGTGTACGTGTACGTGTTGTAATAGCTATGCAAATATACGAATTGTGTATGGTCCGTAATACGTATACAGACACTTAAACGTGGTACATAATTACACATTTCCTCGTCCCAGGGTGAACATCAGAGCACATCCCACATGCACTCACGAAGACACACTGGCATGGGTCTCCTTTACAGGACAGTTGTTCTAAACCTGAATTGGCGAGACTGCACAACGGTTGTGCAACCCAATCAACACGGACTAAATGGCCAGCGCCAACTTGCTGTTCGTTCAGATGCAATCCGATTCGACTCGATCCGATCTGGTTGTTGCTTTGATCCTAACCATATCGGATTCCAATGCCCATCGTGGCCTATCCCCATTTCACAGCTCTGTGCGGCCTGTGCAATCTTCCTGCGGGTTATACTCGACTCTGCTTGCGCCTTCTCCACGCGAATCGATCCAATCCCTGTAGTCGACGACGTGAGTGTATATGCAGGGATAGTGGCCTGCGGTGTTCTTTGTGTATGACGCCAGGCCGACCAGGACGTTGTCGTCGCACAGCAGAGGAGAACCATGATCCCCTATGGTACAAAGGAATGGGAGACATACAACAATTGCAAACGAACAGAACACAACCGTTGCTGAGCATATCCAAGAAAACTAGGACAAAAATTATGTATCTGAAATTATATATCTGAATTTGTCTAGAGAGTTGCATCATTTATTCTGATCCAGTGATCGGAATGTGGGTTAAATAAAACTAGAACAAAAGCACAGAGTGTAAAGTAACTACTTAGGAAAGTGAACAGAGAAACAAACCTCACGTCATTTGGGAAATGAAGGAAAAGCACTTGGTGGTAACACAAGAACAACAGATGCATGCCCTGTATGCACTCTTCTTTTCCTTCTTTTTCTTTCTTTTCTTTTCCACACTACAGCTGATGCCTAAAATTTCTGCCTATCCAAAGTGTCAAAAACCACAGCACATGAAACAGTGCCAGCCTGGAGCAAACCACGCTCAACATTGTACCCAACTTGCAAAAAACATGGCTACACACACAATTGCGCACACCCAAGCACACCACAGTAAAATACAGCACAGTCTCTGAAGTGTGACGTACTACTTCGGAATCAAAATAAACGCAATGCAGCATGTAAGGGCACATGGAATCGCGGCGACATTATGCATCGATGCGCCCAAGCGCCACTCACAGACGACGTTCGCCGCCGGATCTGACAGTGCGCACACCGCCCCCTCTGGCAGGCCGTCCAGCAGGCTCCGGCATCTGTTCCTCTGCACTATGGTCAGCCTGGGCAGAACTTCGACTTCGGCAGATGGCGGTCCGTTGAGCCGCGGGGAGAACCAGCCCACCGCCGTGAGGCGCTGGCCCACGCAGTCAGCAGCCTGCGTGGCAGAGATTTCGATGGGCTCTTGGGTGCTGATAGGGGTCTTGAGCTCCAGGAGGGCGATGTCGCTGCCATTGGCGGGGTTGCCGTTGAAGCCGGAGTGGATGATCTTCTTGCAGACGGGAATGGTCTAGGGTCATGGGGGCATGGCTGGGCGTCAGATTGCAATTGTATGAGAAAGTTGCGATGGGGGTGGGAATGACAAAGCAGGGGAAGAAGGAAGTATTGAAAGGAATGGTGGCTTATTTCGGAACTAGAGAAAGGAAAAAACTTGAAACAGAAAATGAGGAGAATGAAAGTGACGGGAAGGAACAGTGAAGGGAAAAGAGAAAAGGAAATTAGGATTGGATGAAAGTATTCTAAGTATAACAAGAAGTACGACACAGTTTGTGATGTTATGCGTCTCAGCTAACTTAAAGCACAAGAAAGTGATTGATACCCAGCGAAATTCCCAGTCACTAGACAGCAACTTCCGAAACTCTAAATCCTGCAATGCTCAGTGCACAGGAACAGTGTCGGCAAGAATACATCACAGCCCACGTCATCAGACCACAAATGCAACGACAAATCCATTTTGGACTTCCATATAGAAATGCAACGTAAACAATCATCAGTAAAGACATGAACAACATTGCACAGACATGCAAAGTAGAACAATGAGAAGAGGGCTGACGCCAGCGCCCCAATATCACCTCCTGGTTTTCCAGCCCGTCGGGCTTGTTCAGATTGTAGGACCCCACCCGCACCAAGGGGAATTGGTCTCTGAGGACTTTCGCAGTTTTGGTTACGCAAGAGGCCGGCACCAGCACCGTCCTGGGGTCTATCAGGACGCCTGTGCAGTCGTGGGTTTGGACCATGGGATCCAGTATGTTGACAATGAACAGAAACTGCGTAGGGCAGTCGTCCTTGGTCACCTGGACACATAAGGACCTCCATTAGGCAAAACGTTGCTGTCCATTCCCCATCTTATAAGCTCAGAAAATGATTGTGTAGTAAATTTTAACCCGGCGGTATTTAAAATATTTGCCAGGCGAGTCGGACATACGTACACGCACTATTGCCACAAAGCACTGCGGCAACCCTTGCGCGCATCAGCAGCCGCTCTGCCACGGATTTTTCAAAGTCCTTCGCCGCCATGCCCCGCTGCACCCCGCCACGCCGGCACCGTGCACATGAGAGACAAAGGCAACTTTTTGTCATGGCGATTGGCATTTCTCGCCTTGGTCGCCGAGCGAGGTTTGCCGGCGCTCGCAGCAAAGCGCGCGTCGCAGCAGGAGCCAAGCGACCTGAGGTCACGAACGCGGCGAGGTCCGAGGTTCTTGGCCCCCGCCCATGACAAACCGCCCTTGTACGGGCCAAAGGGCCACGGGCGAGTGATAGCCGCAGGAACAAGCCAGTTGCTGAAGAACGAATGGCGCACTGCACGGGGAAGGGCAGGGTAGGTGGGGCGGACGTTGGGCGTTGACCTGCACAATCTGCAGACTCTGTCTAAGTGGCGCACCCCTACGGCTAGCTCTTTCCACTGCACCCAACAGGCTCTTGGATCACAACGACGGGGCTCAGCACAGCGATGGGACATGCTACACGCCTCGTCGCCTAGCTCGGTGCGCGCAGTTGGGCGACGCCAGCCTGATCAAGACCCTTGAGTTGGTGGCATGCGCCAAACTGTTTTGGCAGCTTTCACGGTGCACGGTGGTGCCCACTCCAGTGTGCCTAGCGCCCCGTGTCCTGCCTGCATGAACCTTCGCGAAACCGGCCGACGCTTTGGCATCCCGCTACTTGCCAAGGGAAGGGTGCCTCGTGGGCGCCCCATTTCTGGACTTGCATTGGATGGTGGCCGATTCCCTCCCACCATCAAGAATCCTTGATCGTCCCACGCCTTGGAGCGTGTTGTGGTCGGCGGCCAGGAGCTCGCCACGCCACTTGCCGCTTCCACGTATAAGTGCCCCTTGCACGGTGTCTTGCCCTTCCTTGCATTCGCCCTACTGGGAGGTGCCCAAAACGCAGCAAAAGAGCGTGGGCATGGGGGAGCCACGGCGCCCCCGGCGTGCACCGTGCTCACGCAGCTCTGGAGAATGGCAGACGGGGTAGTTGGACGTTGGCGCACAGAGCCCGCGCAACTCTCTTGACACTTTGATGGGCTGTCTGGCGTGGCGTTGGAGGCACTCCCTATGGTGCTGCTAACCGTAGCGAGGCGTCAAGACCTCCCTTGAGTGTCCTTTCATCAAAGGGGCGGGAACCCAAGAGAAGGTTACCACAGGTGCGTGCTGCCAGGCACGATTGGCGATCCCAGGGAGCAACCTGGCCCGTGAGAGGGGCCCCTACCCGCCGCGCAACCCCAGGCGTAGAGGTGGCCACTCAAAGGTGCCATCCGGTCCGTTAAATCCGGTTCGTTAATTTTTATCAGCTGTCCATTAAATTTCGTTAAAGAAAAAGGGAGAAAAATTCAGAAAAAACGAAAAAAATCCAAAAAAATCAAAAAAACCCCAAAAAATCACAACAACTGCGGCTAGTTGAAAATCTAGTATGCATAGGTTGAAATAAAATACAAACATACTCTCTAATAGCGAATTCCATAAACTATAAGTATGAAAAAAACCCAAAAATCCCCAAAAAATCAAAAAATCTGCTAATTTTTGGTTAATTTTTGTCTTTTTTCGTTATTTTCCGTTAATTAACGGAAAATTAACGGAAATTAACCTCTGTCCGCTATTAACGGATCCGGGTGGCCACCTCTAGCGTACAGCGCAAGGTGGGAAGGGGAGGGAAGCCGGTGGGAAAGGGTGCCAGAAAAACGCAGGCCCATTGGCCCAACTTGGGGATCGTTGCGGTTCTCGCGTGCTGAAGGCCGATACACTCCTCTCAGAGGCCGCCCGGCTGTTTGGCGCGCAACAGTCGCCTTGATCCCTGAGGTGGGCCGATGGCCCGTGTGCCATTTCGAACATCGCGAGGGTCGATCCCCACACCCGACCGCGCCGGCCACCTGGGCGATCGACGCGATCTTCGAGAGGCGAAGGGCGGGGAAGGCCTCTGGGGGTCTTCCCCGCCCTTTGCCTCTCGAAGATCGCGTTGATCGGCCTTGTGGCCGGAGCAGCCAAATTCAAAGTTTGCAAATCGACAAACTTCACCCGCCCAACCCGCCCAGCCAGGGGCTCCGGCCCCCGGGTCGATCGACCCGAACCTTGCCTTGAAGACAGCGTGCAGGGCCCTCGAGAGTCCACCACGCCGTTTTGCGAGGTGATGATCCCCTCGCTCGTCGCCGCCCACCTTCCTAGAAATTCGAATTTGCAAAATCGCAAGTTTTCAACTTACACGCAGCAGCCCCTCCTCCGGGGTGGATCCACGTGATCCTCGCCTTCCAAGGGGCATCTGGGTCTCCCCGGGGTCGGCCACACCGTCTACAAGGTGAACAGCCGGCCGACCGTCTCCGCCATCTTTCCTCCCAGTTTCCAATTCAACAATTTGCTCAATTCATCACCACAACCCAGCCTGCCCTCCCGTGCGCTCAATCTACGAGATCGTCTGCAACCAGACGCCGAGGCTGCCCTAAATGGTGCTTTCTTGCCCTTTGGCTTTCCCCCGGATCCCCACAGCTTCCCCCTTCCTCCACTTGGCGCAATTTCAAATTCAAAATTCACAATCTTGCATCCCCCGCATTGCCACCTGCCACCCGCCTGCCAGCCATCTGCTGGGATACACAACCAACCGTACCCCTGCTAGCCGGCTCAATGTCTGATAGATTGACAGAAAGTTGCCCGGATTGTTGATTCTCTTCTTAGTTATGCATTTAATTAACTTGTCAATTCACCTGGCCATTTCGCTCAGTCACCAGCCAAGCCGGCTGGCAGGGCCACTTGCCCAACTCAGCAAGGCTGGAATACAATGTGTTACAAATTTACTGCACAACGCACACATCAAATACTATATGAAGGTAGCAAAGTCCATGCGGTTGCATAGCAATCTTGTTTTGGTTGATGCCTTCCGCATTGTGTTCCTGCCAATCGGCGACAATTGAAGCCCATTGATGCTAATTGTTGCGATTGCTGCACTGACTGGTGCCCCAATGTATTGATCGACCTGGCATAATATTATTCCAGATTAAACTGCTGGTCCAGATTGGTGGACTGCTTGGTGCACGCATTGCCGCCCTCATAGAACACTGAGTGGTGCATTGAATGCTTCACCGATAGGTCCTGCAATCATTGCATCGACTGGTGTGTTGGCCAGTGCCCCAAAGCTGCCATCACTTCTATGCCGACTGGCAACAATCAGCGCACCGACTACTGCCCCTAATTCTGCATTTTGTTACATTTACTATCTTCCTCAACGGCCCAAAACTTGCCGTCATTTCATTGCTGACTGGCGCAGCAATCCGTGTGCCAACAAGTCCACTTGCAGGCTGAATGGCCCAAAACCTGCTGTTATTTTCATGCTAAACAAAACCGCAATAAGTGCACTGATTGTTGTAAACATACACGCACCAACCACATCGATTTAGTGCAAGACATTCCCTGAGTATGCATAATCTAGATCCTTAAAAATGAATCCAGAAGATTCTGTTCCATCTATCAAAAACTGCCTTGTTTTTTACGTTGCCGTCAGTCACCTATTGGCACATCTATTGATGCGCAGATTGGTGTACCATTCACGCATTAATTGATGCGCTCACCTTGATCCTAAAAGATACTGTCTTGGGACTAAAGGTCACTGCGATGAAACATGTTCGATGCGTGTTGAAACTCCCTTGCGTTCAACTGGCTGCCAAGGCCCATTTTTATTTGGCCTTAGCACAATACACATCCATATATATTGCGTCACAACCATCAAGGAACATGTGGGTAACCTTGCCCTATAGCTCAATGCCGCACCGCCGGGTTAATAAAAGGACCGCGCTTGCGCAGCGCGCGTGGATATCCGGCCTTGTAACAATTGACTGAAAATATTCTTCTGATATGTACCCAGGTATGCATCTTCTCTGCGTTTTGAATTGAATTCAATCTGACTGCTTTTTATTGATTACAGTTCACAAAACCCTCAGCTGTGTTTTGAGGTGTGCTCAATTTGAACCAAATCGTGGACTTCAAGTCTAGCAACACTAAAATGGGACCAAATCGCGTTGTTCTGACCACTTTTTCGGTGCATCGTTTCATCAGGTACTCAACAAAGTGTTTCATTTGTGCAGACCATGGCAGCATCCTTGCGGTGTCTGTGACTACATTTCTGCAAGGATGACGTTCGTCCCGCCAGCCACGACCTGCCGAACTGATCAGAATGTACAACCTCTGCAGTTCGATTCAACTGACACAGTGGGGACCAATCTCTGCCTCCAGATGTGAGGACATCATGGTGAAACATGATGTCCAGCAAACGCTGCTGTACCTTAAACTTGATAGTGAGACCCTCAGGACCTGGCACAACAACATGCAAAGAAATGCATTAATTGGCATCCTGTTGCTGACACAAATTTCTGGCCACAGGCTGCATGCGGATCAGTCGGCACAGTTGTCAGGGTAATGCAGCTGGTGTAGTGTATCTGGGGTGAAGTTAGAATTGACAGTTACTGCAGTAGATGGCAGAGGGCAGCTAGTGCGGCCCTCGACCCCAAATCCATACTGGTGTGCCGGCTGTACAGCCCACAGTGTGAGCAACAGTATCACTCCACTTCACCACCAGAAAATCTGAAGACGACGCGCCAGCTCTGGCCCTTTCCTTTCTGCAATCCATTGTTTTGCTTGGAGTGCTGGTGCATTGCATCAGGTGTAGGAAATCCACAACGACAGCCTTTGCAACAACAGGACTAACAGCTGCCCTTTTGTTTGGTGATCATCTCATGGTGGGAGATTTGGGTGAAGGTTAGGAGGGCTTAGGAGGGGGTTGGAGTGGGTGGAGAGTGATGCCGCAACCCCATGTCCAAGCATATAAGTCCCACTCAAACCTGCCCTATGCAAACCCTTCTTGCCCATCCTGCCATACAATTTGTTTTTGACCTGGCTTGGATGTTTGCACCATCATCACTGCCATAGCCAGACTACTCAAGGGCATCCTTCAGTTGGCCATCTCTGTTCTTTATCCCATCATCCCACCAGCACTTTCTTCATCATGATGCCGGCCTGCCATCGCTCCTGCTGTCCAGCAACATGGCCACCCGTTCATGTGCAGGTGGCAGCTGGTCACCAAAATAGTCCCTCACCCGCCTCTGCTTCTTGCTGCTGTGCAGAGTAGTTTCTAAGACTCTTACATCATCTGAAGTTTGGGGAACACATCGCTCGAATATTTCTACACCAATGTCTCCTCAGGAGGGGGCAGCCACCGATCGATTCCCTTTTTTCCCTTTCTGTTCAAGAGACGCACTTGCTGCCCCTGACACCCAAGCGCCTTTACTGGTCCCTCCTGCAGCCCCTAGCCAACAAAGGGAAGTGGCAATGCAGGAGATCCCATCGTTCGTGGGCAACAAATCGACAACCCCAGGGACAAGCAGGTGTGAGACTTATTTTGTGTGAGGTGCTCTCTTCTGCCCTTCTGATTCCATAAACTTCAGCCTTGAACGGAAGAGGATGGCAGCATAGCTCCTGCTGTAGCAGAATGGGAGCATGCCCTCCGCTATGCTGCATGGCAGCGTGTGCAATGACTTTGCCGAACAGCACCAAGGACAAAATCGCATGGCGCCAGGCAGTCTACGTGCCGGAGCTCCACCCACACACCGTACAGCGCGCCACTCCCTACCCCTCAGAACCTTTATCATCCTACATCTTCTCAAGTGCGGAAAATGGCAAGAATGGTCACCGAGGTGACCCTTTGTGTGACCCGCTTCCATTTCCTTGGTAAGGGCACCCTGGGCTCAAGCGCCTTAAAATTCGACCGTCACCCGCCCGTGCGGCGCGCACAACACCCGTCCCGTAACGCTCGCCGGTCCCAAAAGGCTCCAAGGTCTACAGCCGATCCAATCGATTCCGTGCCCGATGCAGGCATGCAGTGGCCCCTCTAGGCGAAACAAGCGCTTCTGATGGTGGTGGGGGTGGGGTGGGGTGGGGGGGACCCAAAACGCTCGATCCATGCAAATGGCGGTCGCCTAGCGAGGTCCCTGAATTGGCGATCCAGGTGTGTCTTGCCTTTGTCACATACGACGACACTGCAGGGGCAAGGGGGACGCGAACGCCCTGCACTCGACGAAATGACCGCACCTTCCTTCTTGTAGCACTTCTTCTCCGACGCGCCCACCTCCGCCAAGATCAGCAAGGCGAATGTCACCCAGGCCAGGGCCTTCCCAGCGACCATATCGATTCAAGCCTTGCAGCAAAATGTTCGTCAGCCAAAGTGCCGGCTTTCCATGCCGCCGCCACCGTGGTCGACGAAGTCAACTCTGGGCGTTGACCTCCTTGCCCCACCGAGTGGCTTGGAAGCCGCTTCGACTAGCCCTCGGGCTTGGGCGTCGCTGGAAGGTGGTTGGGCGACACGGCCCTCACACCTGTCGAGAGACGAACGGCCTAGTTTTCCTGTTTTCGGCGCAGGAACAGGGTTTTAAAATGTGCGCTTGTGGATTTGGTTCCAGGGGCGCCGGTCGTGATGGCCAACGATGTCAATGTGACGTTGACGAAGGCAGGCAGGGTCGAGGGGTGGCGATCCCTGAACGGGAATCGTACGCTCAAGTCCACGGCAACGGTTTACAGCCGAGGCAAAAGGACAACAGACGTTCTGTCCTTTATACCCAGTCCGTTCATCAACATCCTTAATGTAATTCCTAGTGCTTCGTCATCTTTTCATACATTCAGTTATTTATAACACTCAATCAGTTCTAGCCGTAACATACAGCCCCATTACTCTCAATCGCGAACGCCCTCGTTGCGATCTTTCATGCACATTCTAAACACCATCATCTCAGTTGACTTAAACATAATATCTCGTCGCATTCTCGAATCCACAATGTTACAATAATCAAATACCATCCGGCCCTTTTCATAGCCCTTTACTTCAATTATCAAGCAGATGTAGAATCCTTGCATACACTTTGTTCACACAGATCATCGCGGTCTTGCCATCACTGTCCTTTAGTTACTTTCTGTTCGATGAACTCCTTGAGACGATCAACATGGACTTCTTCCGAATCAGCGCCTCGTGCCTTCCGATCAATCTCGTACCTCTGATCAGAGAGGCGACGCAAAATACGATATGGTCCAAGCCAGTGAGGGTCTAATTTCCGCCCATGCTGCTTGAACCTCACCGTATTGCGTAACCATACTTTTTGACCCGGTTTGAACTGAACCTTGCGCACAGTTTTGGTGGCTTCTTCTCTTCCCTTCATCACGGCTGCTCGATTTGCATCAATCCCATCACGGCGCAACTGCAGTTCGTCAATTCTCTGCTGCAATTCCTCAGGCTCCGGTTTTCTCCAGCCCTCCGCTAGTGATTCCACTCTGTGTACCGGTACCGCCACCTCATGTGTTCGCTTTGGTGTATACCCCATCAAAGCTTCGAAAGGAGAGCACTTCATTGACTCAACAATCCGGGAGTTGACAGCCAGAACTGCGCGCCCCAACTCGCGTATCCACAGTTCGCTGTGTCCATCAGTTAGCCTCCTCAAGCGATCCAACAACTCACGATTCGTGCGCTCAACCAGTCCGTTGCTTTTAGGCGAGTAGGCTGGTGAATAGTCCCATGCTACTCCAAGATCACGTGCCATCTGTCGAAGATGTCGCTCCTTAAATGCCATTCCCCGGTCAGAAAGGCAGATTCTGGGGATGCCAAATCGGGCGCAAATTGCACTCAGCATGATCATCACGTGATTGTGATCCGCAGCTGCAATTGGCGTAACCTCACACCACCGCGTTGCATAGTCTACAACGACTAGCAAATACCTGTAGTCACCCACTGGTGTGAACGGGCCCAGAAAGTCCCATGCAATAACCTCAAACGGCTCCAATACCAACCATGTTTCTGATTTCGCTGGGCTCACATTTGGGCCATACTTTTGACAGGCTTCACAGGCTTTGACGTTGTCACTGACGTCTCTTGCCATAGTAGGCCACCAATACGTCCTCATCAACTGCGTCAGAGTCATGCGTGCACCGTAGTGGCCCGCATCATCATGAACACCACTGAGAACGCGCTTTCTGTCCTCCTGACGTACCACAAGTTGCGGATCGCCCACAGAATTCTTGTGGTATAGCTTCCCATGCATAACTGCGAAACGGTCAGCCCGACGCTTGATGAACTTCTGATCCTTTTCTGGCATTTCTGGTCGAAAATCTCCAGTTGTGATGTACTTCTGCATGTCATCATACCATTCGTCACTGCCAGGCACCACAATCATCACATCCAAATCTTCATCAAGCGCATCTTTCCCCTCCTGAATCATGGGTAATCTCGAGAGAGCATCAGCGTTTTTGTTCAATTTTCCAGGCCGGTACACGATCTCAAAATCGTATTCTGCAAGAATCATGCACCATCGTGCCACCCTTGATGACGCCATTTCGGGATGCCTTAACAGTCCCTTCAGAGGAGCTTGGTCTGTGTAGACAGTGGTGTGCCGCCCTAGAAGGTAATGTCTGAGCTTTTTGAAAGCCACAACCACAGCCATCAGTTCTTTCTCAGTCACGCCATAATTTTTCTCTGCCCTCGTCAGCGCTTTGCTCAAATAGTATACGGGGTGTGGCAACCCGTCTGATCCCAGCTGGCTGAGCTCCGCTCCCAAACACGCATCTGATGCATCGGTATCCAACAGAAAATCCTTGTCAAAACGTGGTACGGTCATCACTGGAGATGTCATTAGTGCTTCGCGTAGATCGTCAAATGCGCCCTGCTGCGCATCCCCCCATTCGAATCCAGCTCCTTTGTGTGTCAAAACATGCAAAGGTTGTGCGCGTTTTGCAAACTCCCTAATAAACCTCCTGTAGTAGTTCACAAAACCAAGAAATCTCTGGACACTCAATGTGTCATGTGGCCTTTCCCATGTCTTGATCTTTTCGATCTTTCCTGGTTCAGGTTCCAGACCCCTTGCACTGACCAAATGGCCAAGGAATACGATGGAACTCTGCAGAAAACTGCATTTTTTCGGATTCAAACTCATCCCTGCTCTTTTGTAACATTGAAAACACTTCTCAAGCGTGCTCATGTGATCCTCAAAACTGTCCGAACCGACTCCGCAATCGTCAAAGAACACTTCCACCTCAGTCCCAATGAGTGGACCAAAAGGTCGCTGATTGAGTAGAGCATAAACGGGGGGTGCATTGGTGATACCGAGCGGCATCACTGTGTAGCGGAACTTGCCAAACGGTGTAACAAACGCCGTATAATCACGAGCACGTGGTGTAAGCTCCACCACATAATAGCCACTGAAACCATCAAGCACTGAGTAGTATTTTCTTCCAGCCAGCCTGTCCAAGCACGCTTCAGCATTGGGTATTGGCCACTGAATTGGAACAGTTGCCTCATTTAATCGACAGTAGCTGTGGCACATTCTATATGCACCAGACTTCTTCTTGGGGAAAATCGTCCCTGCGCCCCATGGACCGTAATACTCCTCTATCATGTTCGCTGCTAACAACTCAGCACAGCGAGTCCTTGCAAAGGCCTCGATTTCTGGTGGCCAACGTTGACTCTTTCTTGTACACATGGGCTTGGTTCCAGGTTGCAGCTCAATGTCACATTGCACCAGATTTGTGCGACCCAATTCGCTCAATTCATGAGCAAACAGGTCTCCATAGCGACACACGAGGGTGTTGAATATTGATCGCTGCTCAGGTGTTGCTGCGTCACCAATATTCAAAGTGTCGACATTATCCACTGTGATGTGGAAACAATCAACAACCGGTGACCTGCAATAAATTGCATCAGCCGTCACTGGTTGTACAGCACGACCTGCCTTGCGAACATCCCACAGGAGCCCCATACTCTCAGAATTCATCCCACCGGTTCTTTTGGAGTCATCAGCTGGAGCATTGCTCTCAATTCCTCCTCCATAAACATCATCCAAGGCGATGCTCAATGTAGTCTCTTCGAACTCAGTAGCCAACACAGCCCTGTGGATGGCACTTGCCTCTTGATTGTTTATCCACTTGGTGTTCTGGATGACGTCTTTTGCATCTGCTTCCACTTCTGGTGGGAAACCGTCATAAACCAGCCCAGAGTTGTCACTTGACTCAGAAAGCGTCTTCTTTCCTTTGGGCTCATCTTGTACCGGCAGCATTTCGGTCAGCCCATGTCGTTCATCAGAATCGATTTCACGACCCACCAGCACCAGATATCCTTCCGTTGCTTCTTCTTCCAGTTCTTCTGATTCTGTTTCTTCTTCGGTCACTTCGCTGTCTGATTCATAATCATCGGAGTCATTAGACTCACTAGTCGCCACTGAAGTATCGCCAGCGATTGCTCCCGTCTCATGAGTAATGCAATCAAGCAACTCACAAACACGCTCAGAGTCAGTGAGTTGTGTCGGTACCCCCACCAATGGCAAGAAGCTGCCCTCGGCGTTCTGAATAAAATGCGAATCTGTGCCCCAGAATGACACCACTTGATTAAGCCTCAACCATGGTTTACCAAGAAGTGCTGGGTATCCTGCGTTGGTGTGCATCAGATGGAACAAAGCATCCGTCGAGACTCCAGCCACATCAACATGGGTTTTGACGTAGCCAAGCAAAGGTCGCCGCCCACCATCTGCCATACGCACCACAGCACCACTGGGACCCAAAACACGCAATCCACACGTTTTTGCTGCATCTGGTTCCATCAAGTTCAGCATTGCTCCAGGGTCAATGATAACCCCTTGGCAGGTACGATCAGCAATGTGGCAGTCAATTCTGATTGCCTTCTCGGTTGTCAATTTGTTGACCTCAGCTGCCATCACTTCTGGTGTTCTTGTGACTGGTTGTGTACTTGCGCCTGGTTGTGCACTGCTCATACCTTGAGGTTGTGAGCTGCCTTCCACATCCATAGCTTCTCCCTTTGGCTTTGCTTTCTTCGGCCTATCCAAGGCAATCCCAGTGCGCAATTCACGTCGCACTGTTGGGGATACTTGGAGCAGCTGTCCCAGCGAAATTGAAACCGGCAGATTGAACAAAGCTTCAGATACTTGGAACTTGGGTTTCCCCCGACCACACACAATTTCTGTCAATGGAGTACGCTTCTTCCGTTCTCCCACACGCCTGACACGGACTCTTTTCTTGCTTGGTTCTTCTTTGTCCTCTTCAATCGTTTCTTCACCAGCAAATGCTTCCAATTCCATTGTCATAGCATCATGGCTTCCTTTGCCATTCACACAACGACCTGATGATTGTCGTTGA